GAAACTACTTTGTTTGGTCTTCCAAAAGAGGACGATATCCGCTTCGTCATGCCTGGAGCTGATCCGTGCTGGTCGCTGAGGGAATACATCAACTTAGTGCTGTGGATCGCCGGATCGGCTTTCACCATTTTCACTGCTCCTTCGCCGGGACCGCCGTTCTCGACCCCGCCGCCTCCGCTCACTCTTGCCCGGCTTCAGCTCACGCTAAACCGGGGCTTTTGTTCACGCTAGGCCGCTGTGTTTTTCGTTGTGAAAGCGAAACTACTTTGTTTGGCCTTCCAAAAGAGGACTATATCCGTTTCGTCATGCCTAGAGCTGATCTGTGCTGGTCGCTGAGGGAATACATCAACTTAGTGCTGTGGATCGCCGGCACATTTTATGGAGGACTGTTTACTGATCCTGGGAGAGTAACATTAGACTAAAATGCCGGCAGTTCTGACTCATGTAAGTACGTTTTATTTTATCATTTGCCACAGATGATTCAAATGTGAGTTTTGGGCAGTAGAGTAGCACTTGTTGTTTGTCATTTCTGTGATCACAAATGCAGACAGGGTTTTTTGTTTACGCGGCACGATGCAATGCAATGCAACGCGTAAAAAGACAATATAAGTCATTATAATCAGCAATTATGTCCCCAGTGGATGCAACAAATGCCTCGTTTGTAGTGGGTTTTAATGTTTTTGTGTCATCGCTCCGGCTGGGACACGCCATCACAGTATGGTGAGGGGCGTAACATTTCCGTCTCATGCTTGAGGTATTCGGCCAATCACAACGCACTGGATAGCTTTCCAATCAGAGCACACCTTGCTTTTTCATACCGATGAGTTTTGTAAAAATCGACACGTTTCTAAAAGGCGGGGCATAGAGGAGAAACAATTATGTACAGTATGTGGAAAATAATGTGTTTTTTTAACTTTAAACCGCATAAACACATTTCATTACACCAAATACACAAAATAATGTTCTTTTTAGCACCATCATATGACCCCTTTAATATTCTAAGAACGCTAACAGTTTAAGTCACTAGACTCATTTCATATCCTCCTGTTTTTCATAAGAGTTACACAGATATTTATAGCAATGCCAAGATCAGATTCTCTCCAGACGTTTTGGCTGAAGGTTTAAGTGAATGCCCGACAGATGCTCCTTTTTTATTCACCTTTCAATTCCTCCACCCTCCTTGTCTTTATCCCTCTGTTTAAAAATAAGGAGACTCAGCTGAATCTCTGAGGAAAAAGGAAATCCGTGAGATCTGAGTATGGCACCCTGCCCTCCTCGCAGAAGCTCTGGCCTCTTCAAAGCCAGAGGAAGTAGAAGCCTTTTAAGAGCATCCTGCAGACTTCCTGCGTGGCCAAACCTAGCCATACGCCCTGATCTGCCAGCAGTGAGCTGCGTTTGACCCCCATATCGTCAACACTGTGGGATCAGAGATTGATGCATTCTCTTTGTTGATGTCACAATCTGTGATGGCGAGGAACGATGGAGGCGAGGAATAAACAAAACAGTCTTTAATCCAAGAAACACAGGGTACATCTAACACTGAATGGCAGGAAACACATGAACATAACAAGTAGAACCGACAGAGACAGATTGCACAGACTAGGATTTAAATACAGGGGATGATTGGGGAAACACAGGTGTATGGGATGACTAATCAAACTAATTAACAAAACGAGGACAGGAACATGACCAAATAAAGGAACAGAAACCGGGGCAAAACATAACAAAGACACCTCGCACCATAGCAAAAACAGAGGGAGGCGTGGGTGGGAACTTGGGAAGAGGTTCCGGAGGAGGACTGACACCCGGGAGGGGGCCGGCAGACAGAGACCAGGGAGGTGACGAAGGAGGGAGGAGCCAAGCAGGACCCAGGCCACAGTCATAATGTTGACCCATGGTGGAGCCGATGGAGAGAGGAGCCATGGAGGAGGAATGGCCGCCAACTCCAGGGGGCTGACCAACGGTGGCAGTGCAGGTGGTGGAGGAGCCCGAGGTGGAGACGGAGAGCCAACAAGCTAGGGGGATGCCGAGGATCCGTGGTGCCAGGGTGGAGCAGAGTGCTCTGGCGACCAAGGCGGAGCAGAGATCTGGAGATCCACGGCGGAGCCGGAGCGACCGAGGACCAAGGTGGAGCTGGCGGGAGGAAGGAGCCCAATAGAGCCGGTGGGACAGAGCAACGAGGTGCAGCCGGAGGAGCGAAGTCCTGAGGTGATGGTGGGTCGACGCCCGACCAAGGTGGTGCCGGAGGGACGAGGGAGCCCGGTGGAGCTGGTGGATTGATGGGTGTCGGTGTATGTGAGGGAGCTAGGAGCTGAGGTGGAGCCGCTGGGTCTACGGGCCCAGGCGGAGTCCGGGCCTCGGAAGCTGGAGGGGGAGGGGAGGGATTCTCCAGCCATGGTGACGCTGGAGGATGGCAGGAGCTCGCACCGTAATGATGTTGGGCTGAGGGCGAGCTGAGGGGCAGCCAGACGACAGCAGTGGAGGAGGCAGGAGCAGGTGGGCGGGCGGGCATTTGTGTGTCTCTGGGCATTCAGGGCTTAACTCTGGATCGGAAGCCCCCTCTAGGCTGAACACGGGAACAGGATGGCGCTCAGGAGGAGCAGACACTTCAGGGCGCTTACGAGGAGCTGACACTGGAGGGCGCTTTGGACTGGATTCGGGCACTGGAGCCCTCTCCTCTTCACTTTGGCACTTTCGCCATGCCATACTCAGCTCACCCTCAGCTGCGGTGCAGGGGGCGGAGCTCCTCTTCTCGCTCACACCGTCCGCGGCTTTCTCCCTCGTGGCGGGCATTGTCGCCGGCTCTCGCACCTAGTCTGACGGCTTGGGCTCTACTTCCGGGGCAATCCTCTGCTCAGTCGCTCGGCATTGCGCTGGCTCATAGATCGCGGCAGGAATTGGCTCTCCGTCATCGGTGGCCTCGGGCTTTAGCTCTGCACAGCGGGGAGATGGTGGGCTGGGCTCTGGGTCCGAAGTGGATCTGGCGAGTTTCTCGGACCGTTTCTCGCCAGAATCCAGTCCACAAACATGCCGAAATCCTCTCGAGGACCATCTTTGGACGATGGTGCTCTGCACTCGATGTTTAGACTGGCGTCGTAGAATGCACAGATCGTGTTGTCCGGGTAGCTGGTGGTGCTTGCTAGCAGCTGGAACAGTCTAGTATGGTCCTCGAGAGCTTTGTCCCCCTGCTCCAGCAAGAGGAGGAGGTATTCGAGGCGAAGAAGGGCATCTATCCAGGGAACAATGGAAAAAAAAGACACTGGGTAAAAATGGGAAACAAAAGAGAGGGTAGACACACGATGGTTACTGTTTTGGTCGGTTATTCTGTCACAATCTGTGATGGCGAGGAACGATGAATAAAAGAAACACAGGGTACATCCAACACTGCGAAACGACAGGAAACACATGAACATAACAAGAAGAACCGACAGAGACAGACTGCACAGACTAGGACTTAAATACAGGGGATGATTGGGGAAACACAGGTGTATGGGATGACTAATCAAACTAATTAACAAAACGAGGACAGGAACGTGATCAAATAAGGGAACAGAAACAGGGGCAAAACATGACTCAGATAGTCCATGATCCTGACAGTTGAGGGTTGTTATTTTGTTTTTGGGGGCTTTGTTGAGTTAATTGTTAATTGCAGTTCATCGGCATGTTGAATATCACATCCTGTGTTAAAAGTTTCTCAGAGTACTGTGAAGGAATGCTGGAGTTATGAATGCAGCAGGCAGCCCATTACATCTGTTGCAGTCCATAAACAGTGATCAAGACAATGGCCAAAGGCAACTTATATTCTAAATGGATACTGACTGAATACTGTGCAGTATATACTTACTACTATTTAAAGTAGTATGTGAAGTAGAAAGCATTTCACAATATGACTTTATCTTGGACATTATGCTACTTTCAAGTGCACCTAGGAAGGTTGTATCTGTAAGATGGGAAGTAGTCTAAACAAAACAAATGCATTATTTTATTAACAATATACCCACTAACTAAACCCAAATAACTACTGCTAATGAGCAGGAAATGTGAATGTCAGGATAAAGCATTACTTGTACTTTAATGTTCTAAGAAACATTTAAATGTCTTTAAATTTATCTGACTGCTGGTAGTAGCCAGTGGCCACTCATAATAAATAATAATGTATAATTTATGGTAAAAACAGTAAATCTTTCTTTAGGTTATTGAAGGGGTACTATTTATACAGTAAAATACTTGCAAATACCAAGGCGACCAAAACTGATACTGTGAATGCTGACTATGAGTTTAGTTGAAGAGTGCATTATTAAGTGATATTTTTATGCATGTCAAAAAGAGTAAAAGTGTTTAAAAAGAGGACTTATTACGTAAACAATATACTTAAGAACTACATGCAATGTTTTTGGATGCTTAATTGCATGTTATTTACAAATCAATAAAAAATTTTTTATTAAATGCAGTAAGTTGAAATTAAGAGTCTTTTTTGACCCACTTACGAGGAACTTTAGCACATCT